TGGATAGGCTGGCCTATTTTCACCACAATTAAAAAGACAAAGAGAGAAATGTTTGGGCTCTCCACTCTTCTGGACCAGACATATCTGGAAATAATCACTCCCTAAATGGGTTTATCAATAAGCTTTACAGCCAACTACCACTCAATAACCAAACCAAACTCATTGATAACAGGTGCCATTGGCTGAGCACTTAGGTGGCCCCCTCTGGGCCTCACATTGAGAATCAAAGCCTCTGAACGGAAAGCGCTGTTGAATGTGAAATATGCTTTGCCCCAGAAGAGCACGTTCGAACCCGGAACATTGGTGGCGTGTCGCGAAAAGGAAAAGGAGGTGGGACAGGTGGACACCACACGATGACATAAGAGCAGCTGGACAATAATCTGAGTCAAAGTGAATGTCCCCAAGTCTTCTTAAAACGCAGGAGAGGAAATAGGGGATTCACTTTTCGTTCCTCCCACCACCACCACCACCCCTGAAAATCGCGGGGAGGGAGTCCCCCCCACTTCCAACAGCTCTCTTCCTTATCTGTGGCTCATGGGCATGACAGCTCTCTGCCACTTTCCAGAGACGCTTGTTTGAGCGGAAGGCTGACTTCGCTGCAGTGACAAGCTGTCGCTTCTCTGCTTTTATTCACTCCAGCCCCGCAGAGAGTAAATGGCCTGACAAGTGAGAGGGAAGACACACCAGGGGGACCATGGCCAGCATTTGGGGCTGGGGAGGAAACAGTTTACTCCTTCTAGAAACTTCTACCTCCACCTTCTGAGTGCAAAACACCCCGCCCTGACCTCACTGAATCTCACAACCTTCTTGGCTCACAACAGTGGGGCGCAGGGCAAAAATAACTCATTTCCACGGATGTCTTTTCGGAACCTGAAACTCAATTGACTACCTAAAGCCCGGGCAAGAACTGGAGGGGGGTTGGAGGGCGCCTGGAAGCGGGAAAGAGGGGGTTCCCTCCGGGGCTCTGTACTCACGTGACTGGCGCTATCTGAGAGCTGCTTCTCAATGAGCTGAACCACTTGCTTGAAGGTTGGCCGCTTGAGGGGGTCGGCATCCCAGCAAGTCTTCATGATGTCGTACCTGCAGAACCAGGGCAATTTACCACACTCCCTTAAGCCTTCCACCACCTGCAAACATTCAACAGTAAAGCCAGGGCTACGCTGCTGGACGTACAGGAGGACGTAGGCGTAAAGGGAAAAAGCCCTGGTCCCTATCGAACCATTTCAATTCAAGAATGACCGAGCGCAGGCAGGTAACGTGCACAGCAGCTAAGAGGACGGTGGGAGGGGTAAGTGCGTGCAGAGGCGCCGGAAAGGCCTGGTGATCTGGTCCCTAAAAGAAGAAATGGGCCACTGGAGCCCTAGGGAGCACAGTTCTCCCCCGACACACAGGGCGTGACTGGGAGTCCGATTCGACTCCACAGCCACCTCAATGCTCACAAGCAAAACTACAAACCCACTG